CACATATGTGCATACTTTTGTGTGCCCGTGTGTGTATTTTTCAGCACCTCGTCGCCATCTTCGTATCCAGCCAAAATTTCTGAGTCGGAATCCGAAGTTTTGACGTTTTCTCTATGATTTTACACATAATTCTTTCTTTGTTTAATACTTGAAATATTGTGTTGCGTTCATATCTTTAATACAGTCAATGACAACTAAGTGTTCATAAACATTAATTATCCTCGCGATGATATCTATTAACAATAAATATGATTCGATGTTATGACTGTCTTTATAGCTGTAATAAAAAGTGGGGTATTTTATGATGGCGGTGATTTTCAACTGTGGAATTCATGTGTGTAATTATAATGGCGATAATTTTCAAGTGTGCAATAAACTCCATCATGTTAATGTTTCGATTTCCATCCTTCGAGATGAGATAAGATCTGTTGTTTCCCCTTCTAAACTATCAGGAAACCCCGCGACAGCACTTCCCTGGCTAAACTAAAGCGGGTTGGTGAATCCCGAGGCCAGCGTGACCGTCCTTACAGGGACTGTGCAATTTCGTTCCTTACAAATATATCTAAATATGTTATGGGCAATCCATAAGTGATCTACCACTGTTTTAAGATGAATAAAATACCGAGTGCCTGTTCCAATTTTCGACAACCTTTTCCTAACTATTTTCCAACTTAAAATTTTAAAATCATTTTTTGTGCCAACAGCATACGTATTTTTTATTTTTATAAATAGAATATACCTGTTCTAATAATATATTTTATATAATAATATATATTATATATTTTTATATAATAATATATATTATATATATTTTAGTATGATGCCAAACAATATGAAATAGACAAAGTCCAAATATTTTAAATAATTTTTTTTTTAATTTCCTTTTTATAGATACAAATATTTAAATTAAATGCTCTGCTTATAATAAACAGTATGAATAACATTTACCATACGAGATAATCCGAGAAATTTTTTTAGAAAATATTCCTGTCGGAGGACGCATATTTTATTTGAATTTTCTCAATTGATGCCGGTTTCAATAAATAAACTGTTTATTATAACCAGAGCATTTAAATAAATATTTGTATTAAAAAAAAGTATAAACAAAAAATGTCTCAAAATACTTTTATTTTATATATAAAATTGAAACAGATAAATACCTTCTTTGCGTTGTAGCAGTTATTGGTTCGGTCTTCGTGATGTTATTTGCAGATGCGTACCATTGGAAATAGCTTGGCGTGCAATTTCGGTATTAAATAACCCGTAGAGGTTGATATGCCGCTAAACAAAATCAACCAACCAAAAATACATATTTATAGTAAAATAACCAGTAATAGATTTCTAAAACAAAATCTCCAACAATCCATTTTATCTGTAGTTGAAGGCATGCAACTACATTCGAAATATTTAGATTTCGGTATTAAATAACCCGTGGAGGTTGATATGCCGCTAAACAAAATCAACCAACCAGCAATACATATTTATAGTAAGATAATCAGCAATAGATTTTTAGAACAAAATCTCCAGCAATCCATTTTATCTGTAGTTGAAGGCATACAACTACATTCGAAATATTTAGATTTCGGCATTAAATAAACGATAGAGGTTGATATGCCTCTAAACAAAATCAACCAACCACCAATACATATTTGTAGTAAGATAATCAGCAATAGATTTTTAAAGCAAAATCTCCAGCAATCCATTTTTTCTGTAGTTATCTTTCATAAAAACTTTAATAAAAATAAATAGTTTAAATTATTACAATAATATTATTTATTATTATACCGTTCCCTTTTCACCCCCCACCATCACCATTGAAATTGTTAACCCCCATTTGGGGGTGTGCACCCAATTATTCTTACTAATATTGATTTTCAGGTGAGGTGAATTTAAACTTAAACTGCTCCAATTGAACGGCAAAAATTCCCAGTAGGGGGGGGTATACTGCTAGTTCTCAATAAAATAATTACAGTATTTTCTGGCTTCCAAAACGCTGCAGCTTGAAAGACGCACCTTAATATTGGAAAGAAATTTCAAAGAAAAAAATTCATTCTCATACAACAACATATTCACCATGCGTCCTTCACATACTGGTGCCACGTATTGTTTACATTAATCACTCATCTGATTTTGTTTGTATGGCAGTAACATACTAGTCAAGAGCAGAAAGGCTCCCACCACTGCCAGTAAACAGAACATATTTAAGCTTGTGGCTCAGCTCCAGGAAGGTTTATAGTCTTGGAAATACTTTAACAGCTAAGTACTGAGGCTACATCATATAAAAGGCTGAATTAGATAGCTACCTAACATTATAGTGTAATGACACAACATACAAATCCACGTCCCTATCAGTCAAGCCAATTACTTGAGCCTGGGCGTTGCCTCATATTCGTTTTGGAAGACACACACGTATTTTTCAGGGCACTTTTTAGGAAAAAAGTTTCGTCTTGTAAGCCGGAAAATACGGTAATTTCCACCTTATCTTCCATCGATATAGACATTAGCAATTGCACTTGGACTTTTCTTCGGAGCCATGGTCAAAAATGCATTCTAAATCACAACTGAAATGTAAATGAAAAAACGTCAGTGGCAGAGCACAGATATAAACAAGTCTGAATTCAAAATCGGTGTTGGAGCGGTAAACAAAACGTACGTGTGCCGCCTGTAGACAGGAATTGGAATAAGAACATCTGCGAACATACTTTTATTTAATTTTTTTCGTTTTGATGATTCTATGATATATATATATATATATATATATATATATATATATATATATATATATAAATGATATTATTTTTAAATTTATTTAAATATGATTTTATATGTCTTTATTAAACTTTACTGTTTTTAAATTTAACTAATATTTTTAAGAATTTTGACGTAATCGAGGAAAATAAAACCCAAAGCGAGTTTTATTTTTCCATATAATATTTAAGAAAAACCGACGTATCTACGAAAATGAAAACTCGAAAGACGAGGTATCACTGTATATCTATTAAAAAAGCATAACTTTACTCTGAAAGCATAGAATTTTGTACAAAATATTTAGATAACCCGGAGAGGTTGATATGCCGCTAAACAAAATCAACCAACCAACAATACATATTTATAGTAAGATAACTAGCAATAGATTTTTAACGCAAAATCTCCAGCAATCCATTTTATCTGTAGTTGAAGACATACAACTACATTCGAAATATTTAGATTTCGGCATTAATAATCAGTTGAAGTTGATATGCCGCTAAAAGTAATCAAACCGAGCAAATCTATCAAATTTACTATAGGAGAGAAATGTAATGTATACACAAAGGATGTAGTTTCGCCCAACACCGCACATTGTTACTAAACCTACATTAACCTAAAACCTAAAGTTGTGTTCTCAAGTAGCCTTGTCAGATTAAGATTTTCATATGGCTGTCATGCTTAGCGTCAAACTTGTTCAGAAATATCTAAACTGTCAGCTGTATACAACAGCTTTCTCAGATTGACGGTTAAAAATGATTTTAAGGGAATGAAGCCTGTAGAAATCTTCTTCGAACCTCGAGGCCTGGCGCTACATAATCACAAAGAACTGCACAAAGTAACAGATCACATCACTTGCGCACTTTCAACAACGACAACAGCTAAAATGGGTATCGCATGTAAATCGAAGAGAAAATAATGACGTTGACATTGCACACTACTTCAAACCAAATGTTACGAAAGAAACCCCCATCATTACTGGAAAGAGAGATAACAGCTACAGGACTTGAGAAACCCATTTCCCTGAAAATGTTAGGAAGGTAGCCTCTATCTATACTGTAAAGAGGGATAACAGCTACTGGACATGAGAAACCCATTTTCTTGAAAAGGTTAGGAAGATAGCCTACATCTATATTGGAAAGAGAGATAACAGCTACTGGACTTGAGAAACCCATTTTCCCGAAAAGATTAAGAAGGTAGGCTCTATCTATACTGGAAAGAATGATAACAGTTACTGGACTTGAGAAACCCATTTTCTTGAAAAGATTAGGAAGATAGCCTCCATCTATATTGGAAAGAGGGATAACAGCTACTGGACTTGAGAAACGCATTTTCCTGGAAAGGTCAGGAAGATAGCCTCCATCTATATTGGAATGAGGGATAACAGCTACTGGACTTGAGAAGCCCATTTTCCTGAAAAGGTTAGGTAGGTAACCTCCATCTATACTGAAAAGTATTTTAAGTGAAAGATCTTACAAATTTCAACCGACAACAGTACTGGTTGCTCAATTAATGAATGCCGAATGTTTTCTCATTACGAAACAGCTATTATTATTATTTACCCAGGCATCGAACTGGGATGAAAGTGTCTTTGGTGTATGATCTCTGCCGTATTTTTGCTTTCTGAGAATTCGCAGAAAAGTGAAGAGAGACACTTATATCGAGGGATTTAATCTTTCTCCTTGCACTAAAAAGGGTATATCGTTGAGTCTCAATGCCAAAGTGAGTCATTTGCAGGAACTTGGCAATGCTACGCGTATGAACATCCCATATTAAAAACGGTTTCGTTCTTAACTCTTTCGTTCTTGTATAGATGAAATCAAATTTAGTATCTGTTGGTCTGTTGTTTTTGTTTAATGGCATATCAACACCGCGGTGGGTTATTTAATGCAAAAATCTAAATATTTTTTATGCTATTTTATTTATTATTTTTTTAGATAATAATTATTTTAGCAATACAAATCTTACTAATTAACCCATAAATAAGAAATGGATTCATACCTTTCTCATTCTGAGCCGTTATCCATTATACTATCGCGCATTCAAGCTTACAGCTCTTGGTATCCTTAATCGGTCACCCATCAAGGTATTGACCTGGCTTGACGTTGCTTAACTGTAAGAATTTTTCTTGAAGATAATAATGATTTTAATGATCCAAGTGAATGTAAAGAATTCAACAGGAATTGAAACTCGGCACTCCAATTAAAATTTCCGAGCCGTTATCCATTACACCACCCTCACATCCAAGCTTAATGCGCCTGGTATTTCTAAGCGGTCACCCATCTATGTACTGACCAGGCTTGACATTGCTTAACTTCGGCGATAGTACGAGAACTGGTGTTTCAACGTGATTTGGCCGTAAGATCCGTAGTACATCTTCTCTTTCCCTGTTATGAGGTAGTCTCGTGCATTCCAATCCTGATTTTGGGGGGGTCACGAAACTTGAAAAGATAGGGGGTGCTTCGCCACTAGCAACAACAGATTCGATGATCCAACTACCAAAATTAGGCGATGAATAGACTCTGGGGAGCTTAACAAGGCCATACAGCTTTTTTTTTTTTCATTAAATTTTCCACAAAATTTTATACATGAAATTTGATCAATTTTAGGAATAATTTCGAGTCCGTATGAAATGTTTTCTTAGAATTTGTATTCTAAGGCCATTATTAGCTACTTCAACCCACCATCAATAAAACAAATTTTATTTTTTTAATAACAAAAATTTTAAAAACATCAACTTTGTTGAAGAATTTTAAAATGATTTTTTTAAAGCTGCTGAAAGGAAGCTAACATTTAAAAGTCTTGTTATATAAAGAACTAGCAGTAGAGCCCGGCGTTGCCCGGGGATGTAACAGTAAGAGATTGATCAAGTATCGACCATCATAAAAGACTGAAAAATAAAATTGACAAAGATTATTGTTTTAAAAAAAGGTTGACGGACACGCATGTCTTAATTAGTTTTTTTTTTTTTTTTTTTGTTTTTTTTTTTTTTAATTGGTCAAACCCAAACTCAAACAAAAAACATTGTTTTCAATCGTTATGAGTCTACCGATTGAATAGAATTTTATTATAAACAATTGTCTTGTAAATGGAATTTTAAAGCATTCTGAATGTAAAAATAAAGAAAAAAGTGTACAAGACAATAAGAAACACTAACTGCCCAAAAAAGTGAAGTTTTGTTGAAATCGGTTGAAAAATATAGGAAATCCGATCCCATATATAAACGAACACACACACACACACAACCAACCAACCTTGGTTTTATAAGTATAACTCGATATGAGTTGTCCCCCTTTCATTAATGCCTCGTAATCGTGTTTTCAAATTGATTTTGTGCAAAAACAATTGTGTTTTTCCAATTTTGGGCGCTGTCAGAACCACCGCAAGGTAATTTTACGTAGTCATGTGAAGTTTTGTTGAAATCGGTTGAAAAATGTAGGAAATCCGATCCAATATATAAACGAACAGACACACACACACACAACCTGGGTTTTATAAGTATGATTATATATCGTTTTCATATATATATATATATATATATATATATATATATATATATATATATATCATTTTTTTAAAATATATTCCTACAATTACTAAATTATGTCATTCGCAGACAGTACTGTTTCACTGTATCAGAGCTCATCAGTGCGGCTAGACATCCGAATACCTCAAGCCAGGATTGATTAGCTGTTAATAAAGAGTTTTCTCTACCACTGATTATCTTCATTCTATATTGTTTAAACAACTAAAATGGCAGTATAGATTTTACTAATGTACACAAATGCCAGTCAGGTCAGAATTAACTGCTCCCCAATTTATTTTTACTGAAGACCTTTATATATATATATATATATATATATATATATATATTATAAGAGATTATAAGAAAAAAAACATTTTGAGATAGCTGCACAAAAGCTTTCATGTTTTAATACTACTATCGTATTTTTTCAGGCGATGGTAAGTAATTGCTGATTAAATCGGGGTGGATAAGGTCAGAATTAAAAGTAGATTTGTGGGTATGTATTTGTCTACAATCACGATACATTTGTCGCTGGCATATTTCCGCAATCGTTAATGATGCCATGTTTATGTTCCGGTTTATCGTGACATGAAAAATTAACTCGCCCAATAAATTTCTCCTGGCGCTTGTTTCTTACTTTTCAATTTAGTGTAGATCTGACATTTAATTGGTTAACCATGACATACCCATAAGTTTTTAATTCTGACCTTATGTCCTCCGCCTTTAACTTTCGGAAAAAGAGTTAACACTTTGTTTTTAAATTTGCTTAAAAATAATTTAATCACCAGTTACTTACCATCCCCTGAAGTACAATCATAGTATTGAAACATGAAAGCTTTTGTGTAGCGATTTTAAAATGTTTTTATTATAATCTTTTATAATATAAATAATAATAATATATTGCTCTACTTTGTATTGAGCACTTTTTAAAAGTAAATGCTATGAATATGGATTTTTTACTTCATCAATTTTTCTCTCATTTGGGTATATATATATATATATATATATATATATATATATATATAATGTCCAGTAAAACTTTCGGTTATTGATTTTGTTTTTCATCCTCATCCATAGTTTGGTAGACAATGAAAGATTTCCGTCCGTCCATTTCCAAAAGGTATATTATATATATATATATATATATATATATATATATATATATATATATATATATATAATTCTTATACATAATATCCAACGTCGATAGCACTCGGATTTTCCAACAAACTTGCAAATCTTTGGTCAAATACCAATCAAATGTTACAAAGATGAACAATTAAAATATAAAATACCCATATATATTACATACATTTTTATATATATATATATATATATATATATATATATATATATATATATATATATTTATTCGTTGATCCAATAATATATATAAAAAACTTGTCTATTTATTTTATTTAAATTCTTTTCATTCAAAAATTTTTAAGCTAATATTAAATCATTAAATAAAAGAAAAAAATAAATATTATACATCTTTTTTTTCCAAAATAATTCTTTGTCCATAAATTTCAACTTTCAAAGATGACAATTACAGTACAATATATTAAGTAACCACGGACAAGAGAGATTGGATCAAAAAATATGTATCAATATTATTTGAATTTTTTTCTTTTTTTAATGATATTTGGATGGGAATATAAGACGTTATGAAAAGAATTTATCTATTCCGTTATAGACAACAATTGTCTATATTATTATTTTCCATTATATATATATATATATATATACACACACATCCATTAAATATATATATATATATATATATATATATATATATATATATATATATATATCTATATATAATTATAAAATGTTAAACGTTAAAAAGATGTTATCGGGATGGATGAAGGTCGATCCCTATTTATTTTTTGGAAAGTGCCTGAAAAAAATATCACGGGTTGACCACCCAAGTTTTGTGAGTTAAATTGGGTAATCGGAACCCTTGGCAGCTGTCGATATCTGTGAAATCAAAGTCAAAGTCATCGTGACCGAAAGCCTTTCTTTTGTTTCCTTGTTCAAATTGTTGATCACGCTAGATAACACGCTCTCTTTTATACTAGAAAATACAGTTTGCCAGCTATTACATATATATATATATATATATACTGTCCTGGGTATGACGATAAACTACAATAATTATCCTGGGTATATATAAACTTACGTCCAACATACAAGGACTCTGATCAGGAGGTTTTTAATATATATATCATATGATATCTTAATTGCTGGTGTTCCCAGGTCCACCTTGACTTTCATGGTAAAACCAGTTAGGGTCCCAGCTATGGGCAAATAGTTAACCCCAAATATGGGGTCAAAACACTATTATGTAAAAATAGGGTTTCATTCAGGAATAAATTTTTTTTTATAAAAAAAATTATTACCAGCAATATATTTTTAAAGAAAAAAAAAAATCAATACATTTTTTTAAAAATATTAACCAGCAATAAAATAATAAAATATTTAAAAATAACCCATTGAATAATGATATGCTGTAAAACAAACCAAAAATATTTTATACCAGAAATAATAAATAGATAGATAGAAATCAAGATAGATAAAATAAACAATAGATATTTTTTTAATAGATTAAAAAATTAAATGTTGTCGGCATTAAATAACCCATTGAAATTGATATTCTAAAGAAATTTTCAAAACAAAAGCAAAATTTTCATATTTTTCGAATTATATATAGATAGATAGATATTTTATAAAATATTTAGATATATTTTTTGAACATATATATTTGAAATATCTATTTGATAGATAGATAGAAATATAATAGATATATAGATAATAAAGATTTTTGAAGAATAAATATTGTAATCATTAAATAATTACCCATTGAGGTTGATATACTGTCCGTTTTTTAACCAAAAAACAATCAAATATTTATGAGATAGATATGATAGATACAATAGATAAATATATATATTAATAGAATTATATTTTTTTTTTTTAAATAATAGATATCATAGATAGATAGATAATAATATATTTAGATCAAAGATTCATGAAATTAAATTTTGTTTTTAATATTTGAATGGTTATAAAAAATCGAAATCTAAAAAAAATTCAAATTTAAAAAAAACGAAATATATATATATATCATATTATTTTCATTGTAAAAATATATATATATTTTAATAAATATATATATATATATAAATATATATATATATATATATATATATATATATATATATTTTATATATTTATTTAAATAAAACAAAATTTAAAAAATTAATATTAAAATAAATTTTCAAAACATGTATTATTTTTCAATGTTTATAAATAAATCATATATCCATCAAAAAAATGCAATTTGTTTTCAAATGACATTCGATTACAATTTTTTTTCATTTTTTGCTAAAATATTATTTTCAATATTTCATTTTAACCACGTATAATTTGAAAATATTTTTATTTCATAAATTGATAAAATATTTATAATCTTATATAGTAATAAGGAATTTTTTTAAACATTTATATTATTTATATAAAAAAAAAAAGATTTTTAATAATCGTTATAAAATTAATTTGACGGAAAGTGAAAAAACAAATAAACAAATGTTAATTTTTTATAAAAAAAAAAAAAAAATTTTTTTTCGAATAAAACATTTAAAATTTTTTAATAAAAATTGATTAAAAATTTTATTTTCCTTTAAAAAAAATTTTTTTTTATAAAAATTTGATATATACCATATATATATATATATATATATATATATATATATATATATATATAATTTTTTTGTTAAAAATAAAAAATCTTTTATCATTTAAAGAAAAAAATTTTAATAAACACTTTTTTTAAC